TCCCTAGTCGTTAACACTCACCGCCCGGGGCCTGAATGGTGGTTTAAGGCTTGTTCTTCCTATTCGATTCTATTTCACTTTATTCATTCCATTCCATTCCTGGCTTGGGCCTTAGAAGCGTGGACATTCGTCTGGTGATAAATACAAGGGGCCAAAGGCTTATAAAATAAAAATTGAGTTTGTTTTTTTTATATATATATATTTACCGCGATAAAAAACTATTCGCAAGGAATTGACTGCAAAGCAGCAATCAAACCTTGTCACCGAGCCACCTGGCGAGTCGTCAGCTCTATGCACATTATATTAATGCGCTAGAATTTAGATGACGTTTAGATTATAAGAAATACCCAATAAGATTCTATTGATGGCATTTTTATATGCAAAAAGCAAGTGTCTATTAAAATTTAGTACCTAATATATGCGTAAATATGAAGGAGAGTGATTGTAAATTTGCCAGTATGTGAACAAAATGTTTAAAATACAATACATACTTACAAGATAAAATATTAATGTAATAACAATATTGTCTTACTTAAATTAAATTTTGTAGAATATCTTAGAATCATGTATAGTTCCGAGTTATTGTTCATTTTCACGTTCACTTTCATGGCATAAGTAATGTTAACTAACTAAGATTAAGGAGATAATTTGAAAAATATTGCTTGATTGGCAAAAAATATGTAATTCTAAACGCACTTTAAGCGCATATTACATTTTTTTAAAAGAAAACCTGGTAAGTGCCATTTTAGTTTATGCACGGAGAACTTGAAAATCTATAGAATTATAATAGTTTTTCTTGTACTATGTAGTTAAAGAATATGTTTTTCAAAATTCAGGGGATGGTTAATTACCGTATATTTTTCATAATATGCGCTAGGAACGAAATAATTGTATAATTATTTTTTTATTTATTCTACATTTAGATCAACACTTAGGGTATACAAAAACAACAAGTTCATGTAGAAGACAGGTCTTCAAACTAGGTCTACAAATCTATGGAACTCCTAGCTTCCAGCTCTCGAATTTGTAATACAGTTTAATTTTTCAAAAATAAAACAAATGCATCAGCAAAGTACCACTGTGGGTGTGATTGGACGTGAATGTGTAAATGGTGTCTTTGCGTGTCTTGTTTGTGTATTAGCGCTCACTTATAAAGTTCTGTAAGTAAGGAACATAAGAGTCAGTCTGATTGTTTTATTTAATTTTTTTTTTTAATATTTATTATAGAGTTACTTGAAAAAGAAATTCTATATCGGTATCTAATGTATCTACGAATCTAAATTAATTGAGCGTGCCATTCTCTAATTGAGCAATGACTTTTCAAATTGAGGTAGTGAAAAACCGAAAGCCATTATTATGCTAAAATGGACGAATTTCAAGTATTTGTCATTTTTGCTGGTACTGAGCGCAATTATTTTCACTCTAGGAAAGTTATATTTGATTGCAGGTTTGAGTTCTACTTGGACTTGTCACAGTTTAACATTTTTAAATATTTTTCTCTAATATAATATTATGCATAATTAATCAAAAATGTAAATACAGGCCGATAAAAAGCTCTCTTAGAAACAAAACACTGTAAAGTTTGTTAAAATTTCCCCTCATTACAATAATAGATTGAAATAAATATCTAAATGTTAATTTCCCATGATAAAATCAAACCATTTTAAAAGCTAAACAGATAAAGGAGGGGTTAGATTATAACATCTAAATCTAAAAAAAACAATGTTTGTAGAACTGCCATAGACCATTGTTTATTTTTTCAAACTTATAAAGAGCAATTTTTAATTGTTCTGATTATGAGAATTTTCATATTAATTACCACCCTAAATGAGCGACGTACTTCATCGCCATTCTTTTAAACTATCAAAAGGGTTGAAGTGTTTGAAGTGTCATTGTTTTTCGGTCGTAAATCTGATTCAGTGCGTAATTACAACGTTTAATGTACGACAGTTGCATTGTGCTTATGTTAATGTTACCGTGGTGGGAATGGGGACGGAACGGGAACAATATTGTGACGCGACGGGACGCCACTTCGGGACGCGAGTGGGCGCCGTTATTAGTTTTGGTTTTTGAGCGTTTCGATATTAATTTAGAACTTAATCAGAACTGCTTTGATGGAGTCGTTGAGAAAATTTGTGTGGGAGTTTTGTTTGTATTAACATTTAATCTGGGGGCTTTATTAATCGTCTTCACAATATGTAATTGCAGTAGAATATATTCAAATTTATGAGCAAGTCTAATGAATAATTATGAAAAAGTCACAAATAAAACAAAATTAGTTAATGTTTAGATGATACCAGAAAAGGTTTATTTAAACGTTTGTCCACAGTATATACATTTTATATTTATGTGTAATGTAATAAAGAAATTGAAAAATTATCTATTAACATTTTTAAATAATAATGAAATCGTTTAAATAATATAGAAGAAAATCATAAAATTATATAGAAGAAAATCGAACCAAAAATCCACTGCAGGTTGCTCTGGTACACAGATTTTTTTTAATGCAAACTTTTAGCAATATCAATTTTGTAATATAATAAACGACGTCTTATGGTATCGAAACCACTTTGGAAACAAATAAGTTCGTATTGTAGACGTATTTAACGATTGTTGTATTGTTTTTTCACAATGCTACGAATAGGTACTCAAATGTGAGAAACTGTTGCTATTCTACAGGTATTGTGCATGTGGGAATATGGGCTCTTAGCAATTGTGCTAAGAGCTTTGATTGCAAAGGGTGGACATTTTAATATTGTCGATTATTAATTGAAACTTTTGTGATCGGTCGTTACCTACAGATTTTTAGCGATTTTAAAAAGGTTTCGTTACGAAATCCCAAAAGCTAACATTATTGTAAACATGTAGGAGTTGTTATCTTACAATATAGGCAGTCTAAGTAACGTCTTAATGTCAATGCTCGTTATGAAACCTCGCAAAATAGGTCAATAAATGACTCCAAAAAAAAAAAAATATTACAGTTTTTCATAACTTATTGCTAGTTTTGAACGCACTAATGGTTTTCCATTGACGTTACTTTAAGGGTGTCGATAACATCTTCACTAGTTTAGTAGTTCCCAATCATCGAACACTGGCTAAATCTGAATTCAATAACAAAGTATTAAAATAACGTTTGAGCAGTCAATTAGGCGGCAACGTATCGTCCATCGTGATAACACTATGGTGGTCCATTGTGGGCCGGCACCCCGCAGTCCGTCGCCGCCACTCGCCGCACCGGCACAATACTATTTCCTATTTTTATAACTGTTGCCTTACTGACGCTCCAGTGGCCGCTCAAGTGTGCCGAATTTGTGGGAAGTTGTCAGCGGTGAGTGATTTCTCATTAGCCTTGTGCAATACATTTTATTAACGCAAGAAAAAAGAGATAAGTACATAAATTAATACAAATATTGTTGTCCCAGTTGTGTTAAGTTGTAATGAAGGTAACGCAATATCTAGACCATAATCAATAAGGAAAATTGTGTCTCTATATTGTCCCAACTGAGCATCCGGTACCGTAGAGATGGCCAGCATCTTGAACCTAGCATACATGCCATCCGATCACGGAGACCACAGAGGAAAAAAGAGATGCATTTAATATACATACATATTTAATGCACCGAACAAAACCAATGTAGTTTCGGTCGTAGATTCAGCAACAAGTTTGCCATCGAAACCGAAACCCGTTTATTTTTTTTGCCGCAACTCGACCGAAACCGAACACTCGGTCGGACACTAACTGAAAGTCGTTAAATACTAACGTTGTAAATCATAACAACGGTAGTCCTTATCGATGCAATATATCAACGGCTCATAGCGACAAAAAAAAAATTATAGCGAATCCATAAAAGTCCCGTGGAGAGGTGCGCAATAGATTGTCGTTTCACACCATAGTCAAAGAGTTGGGTCTTACTGGCACGGCGATCGAGCCAAAGATAAGTTTCTCACCTCCCCGCGATCGCGGACTCGCGAAAGGGTTCCACGAATAATTGCAACAATTGATTTAGAGGAGTCATCGAGCAATTTGTATGGTATTTGTGCGGGCTGTCAAACTGTGATGCTATCGACGCGCCTCGGGGTGCCTGTACCGCAATGGGAACTTATTGCAAGGGTTGTTTTCCCACACCTCAAGACTCACTTGCAATAAAAGTAGCAAGTGATTGTTCGACAGGTTAATTTTTTTGGTGTATTTGTTTTAGTAATTAATAAAACAATAAAATGATAGCATTGTGTACATTGTTAAAATATTTGTAAAAATATGATCATTAAAAAAAAAACAGAAAATAAGATTCACTTTTTAAATACCATCCATCTAGTGATAACATTGATTTTATGTAAGTAATTGGCCCTTGAGGTTCCCAATTTCCCATAACTTACGTCCAACATCCAACAACAGCTATTTAAATGGCTCCTCGGAAATTCTTAACCAAAACCATAACTTGCCCCAAAATCCATAATAAGACATAAATATCAACTCTTTGCAATATGTCAATGTAACAAACTGCTGCGGTAACGGTCCGTATCATTTGTCTGCCGGCTCCGTAATTTATGATCTCCTCCCGAAGAACGAGGACAAAAACGGGGCTGTTGTTAAATATTTGCCTTGAGACAAGAGGGGGCGATAATTCGAGGCCATTATGACGTCATTTCACGCCCTTTGTGAGGTCGTCACGCCGTGTCATCTGCTCCTCGAGACGCCTGCCTGCTCTATCTCTCGATAATATCTATTGTGTCATTTTTTCAGTGCGCGAGGATGCGCCACCGACGATGATTTTATCCCGTTCGCTTGTTCGGTCGACTTCGCTATAAAAACACTCGAGAAGCTGCCCTATTGTCTCGTGGCCCTTTTACGAGATCTGTTTTGTGATGCTGTTATTGTTTTCGGTCGATAAACATCTCGCCACTACGTAGGTAGGGATCATCATCACTATTACCAGTGGATCCTTTTAATAGACCCATCGTATTTTTTTAGTAATTACAGCTTTTGAAGGTTGTATGAAATGGATTTGTTAAATAACGGCCTGTCGGGTGTAATGAGAGATTGGCAAATGAATAATGTGGTTTCGTTCAAACAAGACTCGAAACTGGTGGAGGCTATTGATAAACTTTTTTATTGTAATTCGCCAAGAAGCGGTCGTAGCAAGGAGACTGCAGAAATTTTGTTGCCAGACAGAAGGCTGACATTTGATGAAGTACAAAGAATTTTACAAGAAGGTGCGTGAGCTAAAGTTTTTTTGGTATATTTAAATGATCAGCATATAAAAACCCTAAAATTTCGGTTTAAGTTCCAGAGAAACATTCAGAAATAATTAATGATTGTAAAGAAAGAAAGTCGGGTATAATTAAGAAAATAGAAGATATACTCGATGTTATAAATAAAACTGCTGAAAATGGTGACACCCCTAAGTTAATTATCAGAAATCAACGACTATGGAGTAATTGTATATACGATCTTGAGAGGTAAACTTAAGTAACGGTAATAATATAAAAATCTATTGATAAGACCTAAAACCTATCCTACTTGCTTATCAGCATTTGTTATATCTTTAGCTTTAATTGTTATTTTACAGTTAAATTTTATAAAAAAAATAGAAGATAATGATTTACATTTAAGCTTATATTCTACACTTCTTTTTTTATTTTCAGAGTGACATTAAAATCATTCAATACTGCAAAGAAAACAACAGTTTGTTATTCAAATAAAGAAGATAAAACAAAGTTTAATGTTATCGTGTTTGTTCTTACCAAAATTCATGAATTGTTGACGAAAAACTTAGTAGTTACTAGAAGGTAAAAAGTATTTAGTTAAAGAACTTCTGTATATTTTGATATAGAATCGGCGGGTAGATAGACAGTACTGAGCACCACAAGACTTGATACTTGGTTTCTTAATATTTGGGACTCTTTTGATACATTCTCATCGATCTTTATGACTTTTGACATCACCTTCCAAAATCATATGATCAATTTTATCGTTAAAAATGTGTCGTGTGAGGCAAAAAGCCCCTAGAGGTGGTCCTGACTTCTATATTCTTCCACTGTTGCGTTTAAGTCAGTTTTGTTTTTCTTTCAACCAGCTTTACTTACATGTTCGAACCACTGTTTTTATAAAATAAGTTTTGAGGTTCTTGGCTTTGTTTATAACTTCGTCAAAATTTCCAGAGAATTGTTTTATCAAAATGTATCCAGAGTTCGCAATCAGGCTAATTTGGATGTAGCGGTGAGGGACGTTTGTTGTCTACTCGAAAGTCCCCCATGGAGTCTAGGCATCGTGGCCACTGCTAAGGGTTTGATAGTCGGTTCCATAACTTTGCGTTACGGAAATGGAACTATTATAGATTGCTCGAAAACAGGTGGTGAGTTTTTTAATTTTCATGTATCATATTAATTAATGATACAAAAAACAGTGTAAAATAAAATGTCATTTATGTGTACTGAAATTAGTAAAAAGAGGAGATTAAAATTTGTAATCATATGCTAATTTGGAAATTGAAATGAATTGAATTGAGTCTGCTTCTATTCATCCTATGTTGTCGCAAAAGTGGGTTAAGAATGTTTCACTTTTTTATGACATATTGATAAAACTTCGTTCAATGGGTTTTCATAAGTTTTGATTGTCGGTATATGGTGATAGTGTTTTTATTTTATGAAATTTTTATCGATTAAATTATTCATATAAAATTTACTGATATCCATTGACAGTTTAATATTAGTTTTAATTATGTTGTACATAGGTCAGTTTATTGTATATAGGTATAATTGTATTTACAGTCGCATGTAAATATAATTATATTTACTTGTTATGTCAGTTATTCACAAAACTGAAGACAATGGTTTGAAAAAAAATTAATAGCAAAACTAAAAAGAGAATGCTATTAGCGCCTTTTGTACCATGTTTATACTGGTCAATAAATCAAAATAAATTTGTAATTTTAATTTGGGTTTGTTTTAAAATTATAGCGAACTAAGGGATTTAGTTTTAGATTCAAATAAAATAATTGAAACATGACGTTCTTAAACTGAACTGTGATGTGTCGTTTGTAGGTGTACTCGTACCGCAAGACGTCGAAGGAATTAAAGAATTCAAATGTTCTGCAAAATACATATTGGTAGTAGAAAAGGATGCAATCTTTCAAAAACTTCTCGATGAAGGTGCTTTGATTAGATTAGGACCTGTCATTATTATTACAGTAAGTTGTACAGTAGTATATTAAATATCACAGGAAAAAAAATTTCAACAAATTGATCAAATATTTATATAATATACTATCAAGTTTGCATTGACAACAAATCTACCAGAGCTAATGCTCTCACTTACAAAACTCTTCCTATTTGAGGGTAAGGGTTATCCGGACGTGTGTACCCGTCGCTTGTTGTGCCGTTTGTGTTCTGAGTTACGGCTACAGGCGTTGGCGCTGGTTGACGCCGATCCTCATGGTTATGAAATCTTCCTTACATACAAGTATGGTTCTCTGGTGAGTATGGTATTACTGACTACTGTGCCATGAATTTTTATGTCAAAGATGTTTTCCGTTTTTAACCCAAGTTCCCTATCATGACCATTCCAATCTTCAATTTGGTTCTCCTTAATATTTGCTTTTTAAAGAGTTCTGTCAGCAATAGGGTTGTTAAGCAACTTTCGCAAGGGCTCCACTCTTCCGAAAGTTCTTGAAACAATTGGTCCAGGCTGCATCTGCAGTCGTTGACACACCATGCCAAACTGGGTCGTGTGGTGCGTTATTGTCCATTGCTGGGGATATAGATAGGCTAATAATGATGAAATAGGTAATATAGTGATATTGAAAAGTGTTTCATTCATTACAATTTACTACCAAGGGTGCGGTCGCCTAATTCTCTAGCCTAGGACACGATATCTTAGCAATTTTAAGACGATATTTAGTTTCATGTTACTACTTTGTCATGTATTTTGGTGAAAGAAATAGTATAATGTCTAAGTTGTTAATGTTGACACTACTATCAAATAAGCATAATTCTTTAGCATTCGTCCGTCCTTACTTAAGTACATGTCAAATTGATAAAATGAAAGGAAATATGGCCATCATAACTAAGATTGTATGGTATAGCTAGAGAGTTAGTCGCATCCCTGTACAGAGTAAACAGAAATGATTCCTGTAAGCTGATTATTACATAGAACAAAAGTGAGCATGTTTTTTTATTATTCAAGATAAGGTAGGAATGTACAAACATACCTACCTTGTACTTAATATTTGTTCATCTCTCATGGAATTTTTAGGAAATAAATATATTTTAAACAGCGTCTCTTAAAGTGTGCTTCGCGGAGTTCTTGGGCTTTAAAAAGCACTTGCAAATATTGCTCATATTTCGGCAAATGATAGGAGTTAAAGTAAAACATGTATGTAATCCATTATGATCAGTGTATTGTATGTGATGTCTAATAATAATAATAATATATTGCCAGGCTCAATCTCATCTTTCGGCGTCTCTGGCATGTCCTAGTTTGTTACTACTAGGTGCCAGACATCAAGACGTTATGACCTTGGCACCAAACGAAGCCAGGTTGAAGCTAACGGACTTAGATAAAAGAAAACTAAGGTCGCTCATGAAGCGACCCTATCTAGACACTGTTATCGGTAAGAGTTTAATTATAAAAACAATGTTTTTTTCTCTAAACTAAGAAGATAAAAATAAGAAATAAACTAAGAGTGCAAAAGAAAAAAACATTATCTCTTCTCGTTAAAACGCTTTAAAATTGCACCGGCAGAAATGCAGACCTTTTTCTTGAAATTATGGTACTGCTAACAAATAATATAAATGAATCGCAAATCGCAATTTGCCAAAGCATCTACAACTTAGGCTTAATATTATGCAATCTATAATCCAGAACAAGACAATATATTTAGTTAATTTTAATATAACAACATATTTTTATAAATCTACATATTTCATTAAATTCTACTTCTACCTTCAGAATAATTTTAAAATGATAAATAACGATTGTAAATAGCCTAAAACAAATGCTGAATGCATGGTATCTTTCTGTGTATTACAAAATGTAGTTATTTGTTGAAATTTCACCATATAAATTATTTTAACTAGGTATTAATTTAGTGACGATACTTTATAGTGTTATTAATAAACAAGGTTTAGCGTTGGAGTAAATTTACGCTGAGACTGCACTTACAATTAGTATTAGTTAAAATTCATATTATTTAACGGAGACTCATCGCCAGTTGCACAAACGTACATTAAAATTAACATTATTTTTAAACGACATTACCCATACAAATTCGATATTAATTAGAGTTAAAAGGCGTCATTAAACCTTAATGGACGTATGTTCAACAGACCTTTAGCAATTGTTTATTAATGGCAGGCTTGATTACCTATTAAGATCACTGTAAATATTTACAGCTTGAGAATGATATAGCGTTGAAATAACTACAAGTTTGTTTCTTTGATTTCATTTTGAAGGTGCCCGGATTAAACAAGAACTTATTTTAATGATGGAAAGCGGTGTGAAAGCGGAAATAGAAGCTGTATCACCAACTGTCGCGGCACTATGTGATGCATATTTACCCTCAAAATTGATACAAGCGGATTATTTGGGATGATAAGTTCATTAATATTTTGATTAAATATGTTGTAACTGTAATTTAATATTATGGTTCCTTTTATTATAAAATCAAGGTAGCTGAGTTTTTTCAACTACTAAAGTATCCTCTGTATGTAGCGATTTGTAAAAAATTTAATCATGGAATTAAAATAAGAGCGCTAGTGCCATCTCTTGATAAGCTAAACTAATAAAATCGTGAGTAAACCACTGTCGCTTTTTGAAAGCATACATCTAAGGGTTGCTTTTGAGAACGGTATGCTATTCATGTCATTCAGGTCGTATCAAAGTTTTGCAGTAGAAATTGAAGATGGCGTTAAATCGTAAAATTATGGTTCTACGCTACGTTGTTACAAGGTAGGTTTTGGCTACGCCAAATTGTTAATACCAAACCAAACCTGATACTGATAGTTATTCCTAGGGTATTCATTTACTGTATTAATTGTACAGTCAACAACACGTTAGATTATATAAATGTCAAATTTAATCACTTGATTTTTAACTTCAATGCACTATGGGATAAAATTCCGGCATAAATTGAGGAAATTTGACAATGTGGTAATATTACGTGCAGCCGTGTGTAAAATCACTTTGCGAAATGCATACCTAAATGTTTATGTTATGGTGATTAAACGAGGAAGTATTTAAAAAAACATTAGTTCCATAAATCAAACTAGATGTCGCTGTGCATGTACGGTACGTTCTTGATTTCTCCATAACAACCCTTCCGGTTTTCTTTCATGTTTAAAAGTAAATAAGTTTTCAAAACTCAATAAACAACTCATATTCTATTTGTAATTTTTCGTATTTGTATTGATATCTAAGTTTCGAACTTTTCAAATTTCATTTTTTTAATATGTTGGTTAGAAGGAACGTCTTTGGTCCATTCGTTTCCTGCAAAAAACAACTTTTGGTAGAGTCGCCATCTAGTGGAGTTGTTTTTAGTGCTTTCGTTTTTTTTTAATACTTCCTCATTCTATTAGTAGCTTATTTGACTTATTTACTCTCCTCACTTTATACTCTTCAACCGCCAAAATGTGGTAAAGTCAAATGTTCTTCACATAATTTATACGATAATTTGGTATTAGTAATTAATAACGCAAATTCTAAAGTATGCACGGATTTATCTAGATTACCAAGTTTAACCCACGCTATGGAAATTACTGTTGCAACTAACAACGAAAGGAAGAACATGAACAAAGCAAAGTCCTGTGTTAACGGTCCATCTGCTTCAGCTGGACCGAGATTGAAAAACGAAGTCGCTAAACGCAAATCACTTTACGCCAATGAAGCTGTAAAATCATTAGATTTGGCACTGGGTAGACTTAAGAAAACCAAATTGTCCCATGGAGAGAATTCACAAACAATGCCCAACAGGAGGGAAGGCAGTCTTGGAATGTTCATAGATTCTCATTCAAAGTTCACTTTCAACCAAGGCATCGAAAATGCTTCTAATATTTCAATGAATTTCTCACATTATGAGTTGATACGGAACTTATCAGAATCAAATTGTTACTCCGATGACGCTTTTAGTGGTACCACAGGGGAAAGGTGCGCCAGCCCTGCTGATTTAACTATGAAAGATGAACATTTAGAAAAATATTTCCGCAGTATCGAAATGTGGAGTGCCAAGTACAAAATGGACGGCTCGAGCAATTTGCACCTTAGGTTACCTGAATAATAAACTATGGGTGTTAAAAATAAAAACTGCCCAATGAACGATTATGTAAATTTCAAAATTTTATTTATTCAAAGAAACTTTACAATAATAACAGAATAATTTCAGAATTTACAAATGAAACGTACCAATCTATACAACACTGTAACTCTTAAACGAGACGATAAGATTTATAACACTGATTAACAATAGGTAACGTAGTATTTAGATGCATTTTCTAGGGCCATCGATTGGTAATACATTGAGTGCAGTAATGTAATAGGTAGGTACAAGTTGTAAACCTTCTTAATGATATCATCTAAACATCACATACGACGATATTTGGCAAGACAGATCTACCAGCAATTTTTTTGTAATTAATATGGATAATCATAGTGATTTTACCTTGTTTTTGTTAAAAGGATTTTTTTATTATTGCATTATTGCACCCATTAATCGAACAATCTCAATCTAACCGCTAAGGGAGCCTTCCGCGGTACTCTAATTTACGAAGGCGGACACTACTCTGCACTTAGACTGCACTCGACAACACAACACAGTGTAAAATAAATTATATTTCAATTACAATACAGTTCAAAAGACAGCTAAGCATTGCGTTAAAGTGTACATGCTATAACCATAGATATTTCTATTTAAATAAGGCAACAATTTATTGTTTGGTTCACATAACTGCGACAACCTTTTAAGAAAGGCCTTCTGGAATAATCAAATCTTACACAAATGAGATAGTAACATTATACGCTATAGAGCTATTGAGCTCTTTATTGAAAGTTAAAGACTTTTGGTCCAGACTTTTCACATTCTCATATGAGTCGAGTGCAGTCCAGCTTTACTTGCAAGGGATCCTAAGAACACAGCATTACTGATTCACATTTATACCACACCCAATCCACTGAATTTGGATAAACTAGGACGAGAATCTAATTTTATTATTATAGTTTTGGGATAATTGTGTTTAAATAAACTTTTATGTAGCTGTTCAGTGAGAGAAATATGAAATAATTGACATAGTTCATCACAAATAGTTCCTAATTTCCTGCTTCAAGATTAAGACGATGAGTGGAAGCTTTCGCTATGTTGGAAGACCTAAAGGACTATAATTTACTGAACGAAGGAGTTAAGCGGCTTGCAAATAATCCTATGGAACCTTCATCGTGCTTAAGTAACAACATCCCGGTATTCTACCATTCCTCATTCTATAAAAACACTATACACGAATTTAATTGGTGTCATTATTCGCTGAAACATATTTATATTGAGAAATCCCACTTAGTTTTAAAGAACTCTTATATTAAAAACTAGTTTCGCCTTGCACGTTTCATTACTTAGCTTCAAGTGTGATGCATTATTAGGCCTACCGATAGCTTCAGATTCGTTTATTTTTGTTTTCCCATCAATATTAGTATCGGTCGACCTATTATGTCTGCACCATGCTCCGTTCACTAGCAAGTCGTATTGATATTAATGTATAACTAGAGAACAATCGCTAAAGAAATCATCACATACAACATGATGTAAAATTTAAAGCACCCGGTTTCCAAACTCTCTCGTAATTTATCTAACTATAAAATCTCATATGTTGTGTGATGTACACGCAGATAGTGTTTATATTGTCTGTTTTTATTTTAACTCCTGAAAAACAAAACATTAACTTCTTTGTCACAATAATTTACAATGGAAGAATTTCAAAATATCTAAATTAACAGTAACCTTACGATAATTAATTTTAATAATTACAACGAATTCGATTTCACTAGGCCCTACGTAGTTTCAGATGGGTATTATTAATAATTTATTTAATATAATTTATAATTCAATATCATTAAAATTATGCAATAGAAGAATCACAGCATCCTTAAGACCATAACGGCAATTGAAATTAATCTCATCGACGTATCGTAGGTATTTAATTAGTACAATGATTGTAAAATTTAGACCAAATTGGCAGTCTTCACAAACGTGGAATGTGCGATATGCGTCTATGCAGGTATCCGATAACACTTAACAAATATCGGCAAACTTTTATCTCTATATAACAACAATGAATTATCTAGTTACGTCACAGTTCGGTGAAATCAACAAAGTAAAATAATCATCGCCAATGATCACCGTTTCTATCACCCCGTAAAGAAGATATCATGTTAAAAATAACCTCTGATAAAGTGCATATCGACGTTTTCCATGTTCCGACTTGATACAAGTCAATATTTTACTGATAAGTCGATGTTCAAACAATATAATGGTTACAATTAGATTTCCAGTAATGATTTACAAACTAATTCGGTGACTGCCTACTCGTTATTGAAATATCTATTAGAAAGGCAAATTTTCTAGCTCAATTAAAACCTATTTTGTACAAGCTTATTACTCAAAATATATCGGTTTTGAGTTTCTACAGTGAATAGTCACCGGCTACAATAAATGTCAAGATAATTTATTTGTTTCCTGAGATTCGAAATTCATAAAACACATTTAGTATGGATTCCACAGGTTTGGGTGTTGAATATTATTATTAGTATAGTAATCAACCGTATCATAAGATCGATATGAGAGTTTAATTTTAGATTGTATAGGGATGTCAAATATGTAACACGCTTAAGACTAGGAAGAGTAACTTTAGTGATGATTGTGATGGAGCAAAAGCAGCTAAGGTTAGGAATGATCAAGGGCACTTCATTTCTAAATATTATAAGTCACTATAAAATGCGTTTCCTTCGATCAATTTACATAATTATGATATTTTATATACAATGTCGTACGAGGTATTCATAACAGCACTATAATATTACAAAACTTAACATTTTAAAAATGTCTGTTAGTAAAACGAAACGTTCATTATGTCTAGTAAATTTCCCTCAATGATAAGCTCCTCATTTATGTAATTCAATAGATTTAACAATCGGATAAAAGAATAACTTCCTATGGTACTATTATAAGATTCGAATCAGAGAATAAAGTATAAGTTCTTCTAGTGAAGATAATAATAGATATTATTCAAGTAACAAACTTTTAATTGGTAGTGCATACCTCTATAAGAGTATAGAATGTAAAAAAGCTTGGATAGTAAAGGTGGTAGTAGAAAATTTTAGTAAAAGCCTAAGTGAACAAGCTCGAAAGTCTATGGGTCTATTAATTATGATCACGTCACTGTGCTTATTCATTTACACAGATGTTGCGTATTACACGCGCTGGGAACTTCGAATATGTTTTAAAAAATCACTTTTATTTCTTTCACGATTAGAATTAATTCCCATCTAGGCTACGTTTATATGTAGAAGACACAGTATGATAGTTTAGCCGAAGGGTGCTGAAGCGAAGTTTCATGATCGAATGAGGTAATATTCAATTTAAAAATTACTATACTAAAGGCCAATTTTTGAATACTCACATAAAACTTATTCATCTCATATTTTGTAATGGATATTTAGAAAAGTTTTGTAATTCCCTGTCTTTTTATTCTTCGCATAAGATATGAAATGTTAATCTGATCGGGTAACAGTTTATCAGATGAAATAAGCTTTACTTTAAAATTGAAAATCAGTCCCATATGTGCCGCCTAGTCCTTTGAATCAGTGGTTTTTTATAGAGAAGACCAAATTACAAAATAACTTCGACTTTACAAATTTTAACTGATTTTTTTGTTTATGCGGTGACATAGTGGTTGAACCATGATTTAAAGCACCAAACGTCAATTGCTGCCCGTTCTCTTTTTGTGTTCATTACAAACTCATCCTTAATACAACTATGGTTAGTATATTCATCCATCATTATCTCTTGTCATTTATTCTTATTATCATAAGTAATGATTCCCTAAAACTAATCACATAGACCTCGTGATTGCGTCACGTCTTCTGCGAGTTCGCACGAAGACTCAGAGGCGCTAAACGAGGGGAACACATTTTCATTAAAGCACTATATCATTTACATATTTACACACAGCAATATGTTAACAACGAATAGTTATCTTATTGGTAAACTGTAAGGTCTAATCTAAATTGACAGCTTATGAAGATGAATCTTCATTATTTCCTAGATGCAAAAATGTTGCTCTTTTCGATCCCGAAATTGGAGATGGTTGAAATTTTCACAATATCGTCATCTCCCAGCTGTCTAATTAAGATTTTATTATGGAAGTGCTACAGAATTGGCTTAATTGTGAGATTTAATGGATACAAGTTATTGCTTTGAATAAGAAGTGTGGGGCTCGCTAGTCTTATCTATCCGGCGGAGGCAGTTTGGTGTCTTCAGGGTCTAGGGAAAGGCATTCTCGGAGGTAGTCCTCCATGGACCGGTACACGTGTTCGATTACGCCTTTCAAGTCATGACCTTCGTCAGCATACGCCTGTAATAATAATTTTTCTATACAATAATATGCAATACTTGCGAATAAATTCATAAATAGGTACAGGGTTATCATCATCAGTCTCTTGATGTCTAAGGCACAGGCCTTCCCTATGGAAAGAACAGCTTAACGTGCACTCTGATGTAGGGAGGAGCTCGTGTTAATACATTTTAGGTCATCTAGTTATCGACTTTTGCAAAAGTGCAGTACATCGCAAATTGAACGCGATTATCATTCCGCCATCTAGTTCTATTATCATCGAAATATATGACGGCTTTAACATTCAAAATTTTTAAAAACTTGTTAGCGAACAGGCACTGGCAATATCGAATTCAGGACATCAAAGATGGCGATGTCTTGAAACCGAAGGGAGGTCTGGATGGATTGGATCAGATTTTAAGACTGGATGGATTGGATCATATTTTAAGAGTAATTTACCGCGAAAACTTTCAAGAAAAGCATTCTCAAGTAGAGTTAGTGTCAAGCAGGTGGTGGGAATACTGTCAACAAAGGCATAACCAAGGAGGCTGGTCTCCGGTAGGCGGCAGACTGTAAAACCCTTTTGTCAAAATATAATAAGGTTCGGTGGTAAAGGAATTGAACGATGAAATAACGTCTGACGGAAAAGAATGAAAGCAGTCAACATACTGCGCCGAAACCCGACAGGAAGTTAATGGTAGAAGTGTCGGAGCTGGTTTAATCTACATTGGTCTAGCGTGGAGTATAATGGCCCATTTCTCTTAACCATCCATAAGGAATGCCTGAGCCCCTGCAGTGGGGACTGACTGTTGATGATGATGATTATGAAGAACATCAAAGATGGCGATGTTTTGAAACTGAAGGAAAGTCGAGCATTGTAGAACACTAGGAATTATTGCCTGCGGGCAAGAAAACTTTAAAGAAAAGCATTCCCAAGGAGAATAAGTGTCACGCAGGCAGCAGTCTGTAAAATATTTTTGTCCAAACGTAATAAAGTTCGGGCGTAAAGGGATTGAAAGACTAATCGTTCAAAGTAAAGCAAAGATGATGACTGACGGAAAAGAAAAAAAGGGATGATACACTACGCCGAGACATGACAGGAAGGTAATGGAAGAGGTGTCGGAGCTGGTCTGTTTACCTGATATCTAAACAGCACGCCGGCGTCGGTGAGCGCCCTAGCCAGTTGCAGCGCGTGCGGGTAGGGCGCGCTCATATCCGCCATGCCGTGGATGAGGTAGAGCGCGTGCGGCGGCACGTGGTGCGCGCGCTGCGACGCGTCCGCTTCCACGTAACCCTTGTAATTGACTGACGGCGTGCCCAGCACTCGCTCCGTGAATGCCGCGTCTGATAGTATAATAAGGATGACAGTCATTGATAGATTTATTAGAACAAGCTTCTTTAATCCACTTCATAAGTTAAGTAGCTAAAGTAGTAACGCTCTCTTAAAAACCTCTGCGGTGGTGTCGTGTGCGTCGGGTCTTTACGTTACGAGTCATACTCGTGAACTGGTTCTACCAGTGGGGATAAGTCTGCTCTGGACTACTTAGTTCCGTTTACTTTTATTATGAATACTGTATATTGAGATGTCAATGAGTATGTAGACTTGGCACCCGGCATATTAATCAGAAATCGAAAATATCTGTCTTGGTATTCGACTTCCAAAACTGCTATATTTGTTTACCCTAGTATTTTGTTTGTCCGTCAGTTAGATTATTGAATAATATTAAAAATGTATATTTTTTTGCGTAATCAATAAATAACGGCGAAACATTGAGTTGAAAATTCGCATGATGTCACGCTTTTGAACATTTTCTACGAATTTGTGACATAGCGAGCCCCACCCCTTAACTTTAATTTCTATTATCTAAGCCATTTCTTGTTCCATTAAAGCAAAAAAATATATGTCTAATATTTTTCTATTATCTTATAATTTTGTTAAAATTATATACGTGAAGATTGTCTGTGCATCAGTGGCAGTGTCAGGTTCTGCCTCCGTTGCATCATCAATTATCGGAAAATGCGTTTCTTTGGAGACTTTGCAAATTAGATGATTTTTCGTTTTCGGAGAAAAAGATTAAGAGTTCAGCAGCTCTACAGTGTAACTCGATTTTCATCGGCTTCAATCAAAATGCACTCAACGTTTAATACAGTCGAAGCCATTAAAAGTATATGGTAAAAAATGCACTCAACGTTCACTACAGTTGGAGCTACCAAAAGTATAATATTCACTTAAGAAGTTGACGTTGAGGAACCTCGTTTTAATTCTCTTCGGGTATTTTCTCTATATTATCATTTAAATATCGAATGTTTATGTTCTTAATGAAAAATGTTTAAAAATCCACTTTGTCCTCCACAAAAGGCACACTGACACATTGCGACGGTATGCGGAAGGTCATGGGTTGGAGTTCCATCTCAGAGTGCCAGGGACAAAGTGGATTTTTAAGAATTTTCCATTAAGAATATTTTTCAATATACCATTGTGAATGCAAAATTTATCAAATATAATAATCGAATTTTTATTTTCACTTACTGTAGTACAGCCAATCTGTGATCGGTGAGACCGCAATCCCACACTTGAGCGTGGATTGTTGGGAACCCAGCAGCATGGCAGTCACATAACCACCATATCCCCAACCCCACACCGCCACACGAGTTACGTCCAAAAATTTGAACGTTTCTAACAAATATCTGTAACGTAAAAAAATGTGTTATACTCAGATATTACTCTGTCTTCAATGCAATTCCGCAGCCTCTTTACTAAATCAGTATAGTTTCTTTTAGCCAAAGGTAGCTTGGTAGCTTGCTTTAGCAATAAAATCGCCATTTGGTCTATTCAACTAATTATATGTGTTTTATGTTTAAGTTTTACTGTGCAATAAAGTATACATATATTCATTCGTTGATTCATACTATAGCATAATCGCGATTATTAAAATGAAACAAATTATCAGCGCTGGAACTGTGTTCTATTTTTGTTTTAACAAATCTCAATTAAGGTGTCATGATTGTCTTTAAAACATACCAAAATTTTATGGGTACAAAATTTATGGCCATTCTAGAACTCTGATTTTGCGCTACAGATTCATTCCATCTAACCAGCTCCAACTCTTTAGAAGAAATTGGAGAGTAATTGAATAATAATCAGACCATGCTCTTATTAATATTAAAATATTTTTATTGCCTCATTACTATTAGCCTTTTAATGTTCCCACTGCACGGGGACAGGTCTTCCCTATGGGTGGAAACGATTAGGGGAATAGGCCTATCCAATCACACGGTCCAGCGCGATTTTAGTGGTTGAAAATGACTGCTGATACAACTGGAGCTGATGACTTAACGTGCCTCCCGAAGCGCGGAAGAACATTTTTGGTCACCCATATTATGGCAGGCCATTGCGAAAGTTGCACATCCATATCAGAAACCGAATTTGTTTACCTAATAACAGCCAACTGGTCCGCGACTTCGACGCCGCCTAACCGGCCACGTAGCAGAGCTCTGGGTAGCCCCCTTGCTCCCGCGACGTCCAGCTTTACATAAACTACGTCATTCCTCGATGACATGTAAGAACCCCAATCTACTAGGAATTCTTCTGTCACTTGCTGACTACCTGGTCGACCGTCTCTGAGAAAACAAATGGAGAAGTATTCTTAATGAAAAATGTTTGATTGTTTGTTTGCATTGATAGGCTCTGAAATTACTGATCAATTTTAGATTTTATTTACCTAAATGGAAATTAACTTACACATAAACTAGTACGGGGAAGGCAGCGTCTCGCAACTCCTCTCTCCACGAAGGTGGCAGCATGAGCTGGACACGCGCTCTGGATCCACTACCCAACTGTACGTCGAACGACCGTCGTGTAGGCAGAGCCAACTCCCGTAAACGTACCGATCTTAAAACCAAGATAACATTTCACAATTATATTTGAGATGTTTTCTTTATAAAGAAAAAGTACTCTTTGACGTAGCTTGAGCTTTCTTTAAGAACTGTCTAGCTAAACTAGACAAGAACGAGAGTCACAAAAACACTCAATATTTTTCCGCATTGAAAAAGATTTTTAGAGTAGTCTATGTCTATTTTTCTGTATCAAATAAAGCAGCAAAACGTACTTAGTGTCATATACTCCAATATATTGTCCAGTCGCTAAACTGAGAGAACTTCGTACATTGATCTGTGTGCCTACTGATAGAGATCATAAACATTTTAAGTTCACTTTACTGTGGCAATATCGGCTAGATGCATCTTTGCCAGCGCAATAGCAATATGTGTATTAATAATTAATGGCTATTGTATGATATTCTCCCTATTCGGCGACCGGGCTATAACTGAGTATCACCATCATTTCTATTGTCGGCGTACAGGCAGTGGCATGCACACCATACATGCAAATAAGCACTGCATAATCTAGCCCTAAAACCCAGCTAAACTTGCATTGTTAAATACTACATAAGTACTTTCGATAAGAGTGTTCAGAGATTCATGATAGTACTATTATTCTATGTTCATGATTTTATGATTCATTGGTAAAACTGGTACTAGTGCCATCTATTTGAAGTAGATAGAACTCCCATAAAGTTATATGTAGCGGACCGTTTTACCGACGAAGCGATACTACTGCCGCGACTCACGATGCGGCCATAGGCAGTAAGTACTACTTGCTACTTATTCTTCATCCAATATCGATACCGAAACTCTTGTGTTGTACGCAAGAAATGTGCTTATGTGTGTGTAAAACCTGTGAATGTGTTAGGGTTTGAGAGGCACTACTTATCGCAACCTATAAATGAGGAAGTATTTAAAAAAAAACGAAAGCATTAAAAAAGCACCTCCACTAGATGGCGACTCTAGCAAAAGTTGATTTTTGCAGGAAACGAATGGACCAAAGACAGTCATTTCCGTTCCTTTTAACTAACATATTAAAAATATGAAATTTGAAAAGTTCGAAGTTTAAATATCAATACAAATACGAAAAAGTACAAATAGAATATGAACTATTATTTATATATGGGTTAGTATAAATGTTATGCATTACGTTCCGATTTCGGAAAAGTGCTATGCTTTTTGGCGCGTTTGTTGTATGGAATTGCTTCTCTAGTTATTAAACTCATTGGTGTTAGTAGCTTTACATTTTTGGTCTGTATTGCGTATTTAGACATATTATTATCATTGGGTTTAACTCAAAAAAAAGGGTAGTCTTATTCGTTTTTTTTTCAATAATAAGTATTATGATAGTTATAATTGGCCAGCAGGTTGTCTACACACAAATAAGTTATTTAGTTTTTATTATTGTATTATAGGCCACTTTGGATATTATTTAAGCAACTTGTTATAAAGTCAATCATTTATTTCGATGTTCATGGTGGCCACAAATAAACATCAAATGATCATTATCCTGGCCAGACCAAGCCATGAACTCATTAGAAGGTACCTACTGAAACAATCCTGACAATTGGTAAGTTTTTTTTCAACCATACATGCCGCATACCGTACCCCAAATCTCTGTGCACGCCCCTGCGTACAGGGTATTCCCATGGATAAAACATTAAGAGATAAACACACCATGCGAAAAGGGTATGTGCGGGTTTGTTAATGCAATTGGAAAATCTGAGTAGACTTAATTGAATTATCAATTAAGTCTACTCTTCTATTTTTTTTGTTTACTTAAAGCACTATTTATTTACAAGAATATTGATAGCACTTACCTATAAGGCCTCGTATCATATAATATTCTTTCTAGCTTATGAGTTCTAGCATCGTGAAGACCAGCAAGAGGAGGACCCGGGCCACCGCATTCGAGAACATAATGCGTTATGCCTATTCTGGGCTTAGGTGGAGAAAAAGTAGCCCTCCAGAAGGAGCAGTTCGCGTAGTGTAGACGAGCCGGCCACACGGCTAACTCGCAAGTAAGGCACCGAGGTTCCTCGCGTTCAGCCCGAGCCCTGACCGAGTTACTGCCTCCCCCGTAACTGGGGTCACGCACCACGTACACCTGCCTCTGTCCCGGCCGCTCAGCGCTACCTGTAACAAAATCGCGAGATCAACCTAACCCAGCTGATGTTAGAAAAACCGTTCATTCCCACTAGTTTTGTTTAGTTCAACTGGTTGAACTAATGTAAATTCTTATTTCAGTAGTTTATCTATTAATTAATACTTTTAACGGTTGAATCAAAGGGACTAGTTGTTTGAATAGTTTGTAAACAACTTTATAAAGTTTGTAGAATTAAAAATTAAAGAAGCATAGAGTTCCAAAAATTTAACCGTGAAAAAAATTGATAATAGGTGAATTATTGGAAATAAAAATTGCATTAGTTCGACCGATTGATTCAGGCGAACAAGTGGAAATTAAAGAGAAAAACTAATCACAAAAACAGAAACATCCTCATCAAAAACACACTATCTCCATACTAAACGAAAGGAAGGGTAACCATTTATTAGGGTGACGATAGTGACAGGTTAGTATAATGACATATTTCAAAATAAAACACTCAACTGCACTCAATCTAAATACTTAATTTGATTTGCATTCTTCACCGTATCGGGATGGAGTTTTGGTACATTTAGCTTTTCTTTGTCTAAACCTTCAATAAAACAAAACAGAATTTGAAAATAGAATATTATTATAAATTGTAATGTTAAAGATTTTTTATGTTATTGATATTGTAAGACTAACCTAAATAATAAACTAAATGGTTTTCCTGGTCCCATGCCAGGATTTCTGCCACTTCTACTTTCCCATGTGATAATACCGCAATGCGTTGCCTTAACACATCCACATGTTTTATGTGTGTGTAATATTGTCCACCACCTTCTTGCACAGCCGCTAGAAGAAGAAAGGCGCTTCCGTCTGCTGAATAGACCGGTTGTTGATGAACTTCTAACCATGGTTCGTCAGTAGCTTTTTCGGAGTGCGTCTGAAATGATGAAGGAACAACATTTCTCTGTAATAATTATAGAATAATCGAAATCATAAAATTTTCGTACGAATTAACATGACACATCAAGGTCTATTTTATTTCTCCGAAAACGAAATTACCTCTATATTCTAAATGTTAATACGTCTCCAAAGAGACGCAATTTTCAATAGTTTATGATAAAACGGATGTAGAAACTGACACTGCCTCTGATGCACAGATAATCGTCTTAAATAATAAGAAAGTTAAAATCTCTTGGGTATCATGTTAATTCGTACGAGTTATAAGATCAGAATTATCAAAGTATAGAGGCGTGATTAAAACAAAGAATATACCTCAGTGCATGTCCAGTTAGGTGCATAACAGCTGCTATATACGGTGAGATTCTGTGCACGGTTCATCCACACTACCCCTACATGTGCATTATCTTTGCCCACCCACTGGGCTGATATGAGGTAATATTCCCTGAAAAATAACCAACAAAAATGTATAAAGCATTGTGAACGAGAAAAAGAACATATCGACACTGAAAAGGAAACACGTAGTAACCCGCAAAGCCAAAAGCTGTTCTGTTCTTCAGAGCAAAATAACTAACATCGACGGTTATAAAATGGTAACCTTATATCAATTTATGCCGAAGTAAGATTTTTTTCCGTAAAACTAAAATGTATTTCTGCTCTGAAGAACAATTTCTGTTTTGTGGTTTACTACGTGTTTGTTTTCTGGCGTCGATATCCCCAGGTGCTTTATTATTGTAATCTGACAGCATACATTCCATCTAACGTGCTCGGAGGTCTCACTTCCCATCTCGGCGGCGAAGTGACATTTTGAACACCGACTATCCATAATCTTGCTATTGGTATAGAACTGCCGGGCTGAAACATTGCAACAAGTGTCAGTACATACAAATATTGTTCTTAAATCTGACGTAAGAGCTAAATTTGTTTACCGTAGGGTATCTGATTGTAACATGGTCGGGGAATGCTGTAGGCAAGCTGTTGTTTAATGTGGGGAGCAGAAAGCCTGAGCGTGCCGCTCCGATGCCTCCTATTCCTTCTGAGATCCTGGGAAATTTTAGCTCCGACACTGAAGAGTCATCGTATTGTACGTATAGTACTAGGGTGCCGTCAAAAGATCCCCACATAGCCGACGATGTTTTTGTCATCTCCTCTGTAAAAAAAATAGATATATATTTTCTGTGTAATGACAAGATAGGAAAATATCACCTGCATTGCAAACAAATAGAGTCAACCGACTTTTAATTAAATAAAATTCAGTAAATACTAGATACATTTAAGAGTTGACGATGCCATGTTGAGTGTATACAACCTCATCTAGTGACTGAGGTTAATATGCGAATTGATCCAAAGTTTCGCTTGAATCAAATCATTATATTCTTTACTTAAATATGCTTTTTGATTGCACTTTTGAATCATTTAATATTTTTGTTTACACATTTTCACTAGTAAGAAATTTGGATGCAATAAGCTTAAAAGAAATCAATGAGTCAATATCAATGTACTGTATTAGGCATAAATATCAGAAAAATATACGAATTTTAGATAACAGGCTAAAGAAGCAAAGATTAAATTCACGGTAATAAGTTGGTGGTGAGGAGTTCGATAGTCAGTAGTTAGCACATTTAGGCTATATGGATGTTAAGCAAATCTCGCAAGGTAATAGGATGGGTGAACAAAAAATTATTATCTCGAGCATTCATGCTTCCCAAGACACATTAAGCTGTCGGTCCCGACTGCGTCAGCTGTCGCTAACATCCACCATTCCGTACACAGTGAAGGACATTAACGGGCTGGTGATGTCAATGTATACCTTGATACAACCAATCTGACACCCCGTTGTATACACGGCCCGGCACTGCGTTAGTAGTGAGCCGCAGCAGCGGTGCTCGTCTCGCCGGCGGGCCTGGTTGCGCCATAACCTCGTTGTCTGCTGCCAGCAATAAGGAACCATCTCCTCCGAGCCACGCCGCGTGCTGCCACTCCCAACTTCGTTGGCCCTCACCGAATAGGGGGATGTGGTGGCTAGAATGGTTCATGGAGGTATTTTATTATATTGTTTAAGTTTAAATTCGATCACTAGTTATATCTTTGAGAGCCAAGGGCGCGTACAACCAAAATCATTAACTTTTTACTGATTTTGTACAGAGAAATAACGTATAAGTAAGCTGTAATTAAAAACAAGAAAAATACGCATTTAAAAGATTTATAGAGTTAAATACTAGTAACTGCTGAAAAGGTTATGATTCATAATGACTGATTATTATTAATCCTTTAGTTCATGTAACTCGTGTGATCTAAAGAATAAAATAAAAAATATTTACGCAATCAGTTTTGTAAATCTACGACGGGAGACCCTGTATCGAGAAGAACCGGCAAGAAACTCGGCAAGGGCTGCTTTTTTCTCCCTGTTTTAGTTCATACAGAGCGTCAAGATTGAAAAACGAGTTCATTAAAATATGAAGTCACTTTCTATTACAATATTAGAAAATATAAAATTAAAACAGTTTTTACGTCAATCGAATCACATGTCTAGTCAAACAAGCTTACCGATTAATAATTTAATATACATAAAAATAAGCCATATTTAACACCAAGCAGTTATGTAGTTTAAATATTTATTAACAGTATAATATCCTTTACTGAGTAGACAATTCTTAATATGGGTTTTAAATTTAGGCAATGGTAAGTTTAAAATTTCCGTAGGAATTTTGTTATAGTAGTTTATACCTTGACCCATAAATACCCGAGATGTGTTTAATAACATACCTAATGGACAATATAAAATTCGTTTCGATTATTTTATTTACTAAATAATAATATAATATGTAAATGTAACCACGAATATTTTCATAGAAGACACCCTGGTCTGGTCAGGGCGTCTCGGATCTCATTTAAATTCTGTTCGCAAAATTCGCTATAAATTGAGAATCGTATTCACGTATCTATCGTTAAATCGATTTCTTCACCCGCTATAAGAAACGGGGAATATCTTAGAATTAAATATGATTCGGAAGAGAGAACAAACTGGGGTACCTATTGGTTTCTTTTAAAATAGCCTCTTTAAAAGCTATTTGCTTAGTAGAGACACTTTTTAAAAGTCTTTATGCAAAATAGCAGTGAAACAAGGAAATGGGTTACGTTTGACTCGTTTTTAGTAAAAGACGAGGACATATTTTCTAAAGATAATTAAGAAAAAGAAATGATAATAATTATTTTTCAAGTACGTTTATTGGTACACAAATGGAAATGTTAAATTTTTCAAAAAAGTTGTTTTTGGTTAGAAGTTAAAAATGGTTACGCCTACGAAAACATTCGCAATCCTTTAAAACAATTTTATAAACTGCTAAATGTACTTTAAAATGGTTCTTTTAATGCTGCACATCGAACGAAATAAAAGGCAAGAAACGATTTCAGATCGTGATGATATTTTTTTATTACTCTAGGAGCGAAATACGAATAGCTGTCCAAACAGAACGCAGAGACTTTTATTAGACAACGTGACGTAATGGACTTCGCGACATTTTAAATCGAAAGATTTCACATTACACGTCACGCCACGTGAAGATTCAAAAGCAAAATTATGAGCCTTTTCCATATTATCATTGGAATAAGGGTGCGGCGAGTTAAAACCAATTATGGAATACGAAATTCAATTTGCAAACGGAAATATAATTACAGGCTCTGTGGAGGCCTTTAACCGACCTTTACGGTGCTAGTATTAAATATCAAAAGCTACTCACTCGTTTGTGACGTCATAAACTGTGTAGTGCGCTGTAAACGTCCGCCGATAAACCTGTAAAATAATAAAACTCAAATAGCGCCGTCAAAGAATACGTAGCTAATAACGCTTGTGTTGAGTATTTTGAATAAAAAATGAAGATTTCGTTATTCTTTACTTTTTTAATATAAATATAAAATCATTAATTTATGTAAACTATTTATGTACAAGGAAAATGAGTTTGTCGCAAAACTATGCCGATCTTGACGTCAGCTGCGGTGATCTTTCTCTAGAAACGATTCGGGAAAATCATAAACAGCAACACATTGTTATATTCTGGCGAATAGGTTTTGTAATTTCATTGTCATATTTAAATACGAAGGTAAAATAAAAAAGTAAATACGAGGCCGCAATAATATTCGTATTTTCTCAACAATGTTTACAAAAAATACAATAAAATTGTACGATTAATAAACGTAGTATAACTTATTGTCTAACAGCTCAATGTTTCCCGAAAGTGTTTTTAATATAATAATATACAGAAAAATGACTTTTTCATATAGACAAAATATTTTCATGACAAAAATTTGCAACGCAGGGTAAACTGTAACCCGTCTAATAAATGAAACGTAGGTAGGTGATAAAAGCGACAATTTAAGAGAAAAACTCAATTAAAAGTTTCACAATTCAATCGATGCTTACCTCCTTGATATTGTGTTGGAAAAGAACGTAACGCAAGTTTGGCGAACACTGGTACCCCCGGACATTCAGCTGCCTCTGTGTTAAAACAGTATTATTTTCAGTTAAAATAAGTTGGAATTTTAAATGAAGCTCCACGAGTAAGTTTCTTCTTCAATCGTCCTATCGCGGCGGCATCTACCTTTATTAAGCGATCTTAATTAAAGACTATATCGTTGGCATGAAAACTTATTCGTAGCGTTCTGGATTTTGAGAGCTGGGGAAATAAATATCTTTTAAATTATTATATCTATAATTCATGCGCTTATCAGTTGAAAAATGTTTATTGTTAGGGTTGAAAAACACAAAATTATTCGTTTCAATTTTGTGTTTTTTATTACAATTCATCATATTATAACCATCTCAGATCAGTAATAAAGTGCGGACCGATTTATTCTTACTGTGGCGATTTCTGTTTCTTTGAATTGATTAATTAGAAGATTATAGAACTATACTTTTGACGCCGACAATAATCCAGAGAAACACGGCACAACAGCGTTCGCTTTACAATAGATTAGGTACTAAAAAGCACACTATTTATATTGGTTGATGCGTGCGGAGGAGTACGGCGGATTTCTGTGCTCATTTTCATTAGTCGGTCATTGGCTGTCATTTATCGACCGAGTAATCATAAGCGTATGCGAGCCCCTTCGGCCAATGTAAATTAGCTTTAATAAATTTAAAAATTGTTTACGTTTAAAAAAAAATATTGGTAATAGAAATTTATATTTTAATTAATGCTATTAATATATCCTATTCCTATTGGATTTGTATTTATAAGTTAGCTTTCCATTGGCGGCTTCGCCAGCGTGATCCTGTTTTTATACATAAAAACCTTTATTTTGAATCACTATATCAAAAATAACTGCATCAAATCCCTTGCGTAGCTTTAAAGATTCAAATACTCACCAAAGTGTGATTTGTGACCAGTACTGATAGTGTATTGTTGAACGTGTCTAGCGCTAGAAGACCCCCGTCGTCGGCTTGATAGACCAGTTGATGAGAACTGACCCATGTGGTGGGGAGACGCTCTCCTGTTAGGTCGCCTCGAAGGAATTCGTCCAGACGCATTCGACGCCCCGACCAGTAAAGCAGTTCGTCTACATAACTGCAAACATAAATCACCTTAATTATTCAAACTTTTTGGTTTTATTTTATTTATTATGATGTACAAAATAGATGATAATCAGTTGAAAATATAAATAAAAATATGCTTTATAGTTGTCAAGGTTGCAACTCTTCATTATGTATATACTGTAAATGAAAATAATATAAAAACATGGATTTAAATACTTTAATCAACACTATAAGAGTCTACATAATCACACATTTTGAAAGCTTTAAATTAAAATCATGTCTGAATCATTACCAATGAGTTTATTAAATGACGGCATATTTTAGAGATTATAGTAAGAAAAAATTATTATTATTATTAAGATACACATTAACAGACTTATTAATGAACAATATTTTAGCATTGGAGTTAATTTATGCTGAGACTGCACTTAGAATTAGTCGAAATTTATATTATTAAACAGATAGTAAAGGGTACTACTACGAGGTACTACGAGATTAACATTTACTCCTAGAAGGTAGTTGTAAGTTTGCTTATTCTCTGTATAATATTAATTTGGATTAATACTAAAAATTGCAATTTTAGCGTAAATTTACTCTGACGCCAAACCTTGTTTATTACTGTAATAGTTAATTTTTTTTGGTGCTCTTACGTAATAATTAGTGTTAAAATAAATTTGAGACGAAAAAATAGATGACTCATGCCCGATTTCACCAACGTCCCCTAAACTGTTACATAACTATGTGTCCCTTAAAATAAAAGTACCCCTAAACGATCCCCTACATTAGAATATGTTTCACCAACTGAACAGACCCCTTAGTAGGGGACCCATATGTATGTGACAGATTTTTTTCATTATTAAGGATGTGACAACCGTAACTTTTAACCGATTATTATTTTGATTCTGTATAAAATATGATTGAAGCTGTTTCAGTGTATTGTAATATCAATTAATATAATAATTTTTGGTTTTCTACATACGGGTCATATGTGAAGTAAAAATAAAGAACGATAACGACTTTTCCATAAGTTAGGGCTGGATAATTGAACTCCTTTGCGTAATAAACAATGTTTTATAAAAAGTCGAAATGACTGTACTACTATTATTGTCAATTTTGTGATGTATGTTTATTTTTTATTTAAATTTGTGTTAATTTTTTTTAATATCCAAGAGGTGTTATCAGCAAATCTCAAACAGAGTACTAAACAATGCACAGATGTAGGCCATCTGTTCAACTAAAAACCTTTACGTTTTGTGTATTACTTTCACATCAATACCATTGTTTTTGTCGGAACCTTTATTACGAATTTGTTAATGTGAATCTTCGTGAATAGATTTTAGTGTTTTAAGGTTTTTGTTAATATCCTTGTATTGTATGTCTACCTTTTGTTCCTTGTTTATTTTTTAAGTATTGTATTGAAAAAGGTACAAGCATACGTTTTTTCAATACAATAGTCTAAAGTGGGGAGTAATGCGGCCAGTTGGTTTAAAAGCTAGGGATACT